ACATGCAGGTTACTATAAAATGTGTATCTGTGAGATAGGAGCTGCACCAGTTTAGCACATTACCAGAGACACCTACCAGGTTTTTAAGATTTAGGTAATCCACTGAGTCAAAGGCTGCATTAAGGTCTAGTAGCACCAGGACTGAGAGCTTGTGTGAGTCCAGATTCAATTTTAAATCAATTGCAATTCTGATTAAGCCTGTCTGTACTCTGTTTGATCCTAAATCCAGATTGATTATGTTTTTCAAAAATATTATTCATTCTAAAAATTGTTTAGTTGAATTAAAATAAGTTTTTCTAAAATGTTGCATAAAAATGGTAAGTGTGATACAGGTCTGTAGTTATTAAAAACACTAATCCAGGTTGCTCTTCTTCAGAAGGGGCCTCACCACAGCAGCTTTAAAGACAGCAGGGAGGATCCCTGTCTTAAGAGAGCATTTCATAATATTTCAAATTTCAGGCTCAAATAATCTATGAAATGAAATAAAAAGTGATTGATGCCATTGGCTCTAAAAGTCAGGTGGTTGATTTGACTGGGGAGAAAACTCTAGGTGGAGTGAGAGCCGCTGTTAATGGAAGCGGCTGGAGGGATGACACCGATCTGGTAGTGGAGCAGAGTGATGGCAGTCTTAAAGATTAAACACTAATGTCCCATAGTTGTCACACACATTGGTGTGGTATGGTGAAAATTGTCCTCTGCATTTGACCCATTGACCCTCTTTCTGCAGGTCTAGAAGCAGACTCTTGTTCATTATTGTTTATTTTTGTGGAACCCCCCTCCCCCCCTTTGTCTTTTCCTTTCTCTTTCACCTCTGTCTCCGTGTCTGGTCGGAATTACAAAGCATTCAAAAACAATAACAATAAAGTTTTAAGTATCAGGCGTGACATTAAAAGCAGACGCTTTGATGCTGCACCTGAGAGTAAATCTGTAAGGCTTGTTACCAGCATTCAGACATTAATTCTGTTTGCTTCACCGCCAGACAGGACACGGTAAAAATAAAGAAAATTGCTATCTCAGGATAAATTTAAAAAGTCATATTTGCTGTTTTATAAGGTTAAAATCCAATCTTTTTCACATGATTCCGATCCGATTTTTTGAGAGTCACGTGATCTGGCCCAATTTCCAATCACATGATCAGATTAGAGCACAAAGTTGTATGGTATGGTAGTATCCAGATATGGCCTCAGCCTGTAGTGCCACTAACCTATACAGTAAAAAACCCACCTGTGAAGCCATTCATAGTTTTGGAGTCAGCTTATTGTTGCACCTGACTTTAGGTTTCAGCTTAGTGCATTTTATGTGTTTAAAATATTCATTTGTTTGAAACAGGTGCCTAAACAAACACATCAAAACAAACATTCGTCTGTCACAGATCACTAATGACCTGACTTTATTCACTGACAGCTCTGGTCATGGAAAGTTAAACCACAACCAGCCTTTGTCCTCTCAGGTAACTCCTTTGTGATGTCCCACAGAGGCCTCGTATAAGTCTTGTCCTGTGTGTTTAACCAAAAATACCACAACCAAATACCCAAGTGATTTATTGAACAGATGTTGTTCCTGCATTTGGGTTTATCTGTATGGCCCAAAGGAGGACAAGCACTCGGTGCTGGTTGCTCCGCTAGCTGAGCATGTCTGCAGAAGTCTGGCCTGCTTCTGTGCATGTTGGCCCGTCTCCAGCTCAGTGCCTGTGTGCCTAGTCCAGATCCATCAGCTGAATAATTGATAACCCTATGGTCACTGAAAGATAGAAAAAAAAAGACAGATCGGCACAAGTAGACAGCTTTATTGTCCTTTTGAGCGGGAGAAGACATGACACCGATGGGAAGTAGACACACTCAAAAGGGAAGGACACGAGAAACACGGCAAAGTCAGGAAGCAGTAAGAAAGAGACAGAGAGGGAAAAGAGGAAAGAGGTTATAGAAATAGGAGCTTCCTCACTGAACTTAACACGGATCAGCAACACCAGATACTTTTATTTATTCAGATGTTGTCGTGCATGTGAAAAGGAGCGGGATTGTGACGTGGCTGCCTCTGGAACATGCTGTTCTACCTGTCTCCAACACCCAGGTGGAATCTCCCCGTTTAGCTGTCAGAACCCTTTTTCACTAAACAGTTCTGCAGTTTGGCCAGAAAGAGAAGTCTTGTTCAGAAAACACTAAGCTAGCCAAGTTCTGCTCAGTACTGAAGCTCTCATTGTGGAACTCCAGGAGGCATTGGGCAGAAGGGATAGATGTGGAGCTACGATCAATTTAAAATCTAAACATTTCTTCTGATAACTTTAGCCAAACCTATAGAGTCACGCTGTTGAAGACCTTTATAGCAACAAAAACTAAAAACGCGCTGATCATGGGAGAATTTGGTACGTCTGAGGTGCAGTACTCGAGCTCCACAGGGTACGGTGCTCTCATCCTTTCTCTTCCAACATCTACACCTTGGACTTCACCTAAACATGAGCAGCTGTCACCTCCAGAAGTTCTCTGATGACTCGGCCATTGTCGGCTGTGTGTCTGACGGGAATGACCTGGAGTACAGGTCAGTCATCATGGACTTTGTGGACTGGTGTGAGTGTAACCACCAAAGGAAACGGTGATTGGCTTTCGGAGAAGCACTCCTCCTCACTCACCAGCTAACATCCAGGGAGCAGACATTGAGGTGGTGAATACCTTTAAGTACCTGGGTGTTCACCTCAACAGCAAACTGAACTGGTCCCACAACACAGATACTCTGTATAAGAAGGGCCAAAGTCACCTCCACCTCCTGAGGAGACTGAGGTCCTTCAGAGTTAATTCCCATCTGCTAAAATCCTTTCATCACTGTTGTTGGCTCTGTTATCCACTCTGCTTTGGTCTGTTGTGGTGCAGGAAGCTCTGACTGACAGAAAGAGACTGAACAAGCTAGTTCACAAAGCTAGCTCGGTTCTGGGATGCCCACTGGATACAGTTTAGGAGATGAAGATGACCTCCATCTAAAAAAAACAAACAAATAAACTCCCACCCACTGCATCCCACTGTGCAGACCATGGACAGCTCCTTCAGTGACAGACTGAGACATCCCAGATGTAAAACAGAACGCCACCATAGGTCATCCATCCCCTCTGCTGTAAGAGTGTAGACCTCCTCAGTTTAACTGGTACTGGCATTATCCTGGTACACAGTAACACCAATGCAATACTCAGTGTGTGTTCAGTTCTTGTGCAGTACCAGATTTACATGGTATGTCTGTGTCTCTTACAGTCTGCTGCATAGTTCTGGAACCCAAGTTTAATTTTTATTTGGGGTTTTTGGTGGTTGAAGGTTACAATAATAGCTTACTGCTTATGTGCATATACAAGTACTTCTGCTATTATTTTTCTTCAAAATGTTCTAAGTGTTTGTGCTGCTGTAACAAGTGAGATTCCCCACTGTGGGGTCAATAAAGTCTGTTCTATTCTATTCTATTCCCAGTGTTTGCTCATTCCTGCTAACGCTAAAGCGATAGTCCGGTGTAGTGCAAGGTTGAGTGCTGTGCTAATCAATGAGCTCCAGTACACAAAATAAAAATCCTTTCTTGTCCTTCCATCCTCATCTACAGTTAGTTTGAAGTTTACAGATTGACAATTATTCAATGCCGGCTGAGTTAGCATTGAAGCTAGGTTGGTGTACTAAGCTGCCTTAGGCATCTGTTTAAAGTTACTTTAAAAGTTTTAAACTGTGTACTAGAGGTTGACTGATACTGGTTTTTGTGTTGCCAATATGTAGAGGTCATGGTCAACCGATGAATGATAGGTGCGACCCATTTTTTTAGGACGATTCTCATGGCCGATATCTAGATGTCTCCCACCTTATTTGCAGGCTAAATTGTTGCAAATACTATCAGCTGATGCACAACATTTCTGAAGCTGAACTCTGATTTTAACCAGTTGTTAAATGTAGATTTTTTTTGACTGCTCAGTGTTAAAATCAGACATCTGAAGTTAATCAAACAAATCAATTCACTGGCCAAGTATTACACACTCAAAACTGGTCAATTAAAATAAAATTGAGTTGAAAATAATTTTTTGAGCAGTTATTATGCAGATGTTGTTCAGCAATGTAAATATACAATTAAATTAATTTATGCAGCAGCATCAAGCTGCCTGAGGATGAGTCTGACTTTAAATGAGCTTTAATAAGGAGTTTTAGCCGCTGATGCGATAAAGTACAAATATCGGCCCCTGCTTCTGTTTTAATATGATACTGCAGGCAAAATACCAACTGATTTCATTTGTGTGAGACTTGGTGTCAATAATCCCTGAATCATCTTTTCTGTCTAATCTGACAACTGCTCAGGGAGCCAGGATAAGTGATGGCCTAACTTGTGCCTGCCTTGTTGCTGTTGTGTAAGTGCTGATTTGTTGTTGGCTCTGTTATCCACTCTGCTCTGTTATCCACTCCTTCATAAACTGCAACTGGTCCAGAATTCAGCAGCCCGTATTATCACCAGAACCCCTTCCTTTCACCACATCACCCCGGTTCTCCAGCAGCTTCACTGGCTCCCAGTTAAATTCAGGTCCGTCTTCAAAATTCTCCTCCATACCTTCAAAGCAACCCACAACCTCTCTCCTCCATATATCTCAGACCTTATAAGTATTCACACCCCGTCCCGTTCACTCAGATCTTCTTCTTCCATCCATCTTGCGGTTCCTTCTGCCCGTCTCGCTACCATGGGGAGCAGAGCTTTCAGCCGCTCTGCTCCCCGTCTCTGGAACTCACTTCCCCCAGACATCAGGAACATCGACAGTTTCACCCTTCTCAAAACAAAACTCAAAACACACACGTTTAAATCTGCCTACAACCTCTGATTTTATTGAACTGTTTCTCTCTTTGTTTTTTCTCGTTTGGGTTTTATTATTGTTTTATTGTATTTTATTACGTGTTTTCTGTAAAGTGACCTTGGGTGTTCTGAAAGGCGCTTTTAAATAAAATGTATTATTATTGTTGCTGATGAACTAATACCGTGTGTCTCTGCTGTGTCTGCAGTTGATGCAGTCTTTCAGAGGCTCTCCCTCCCTGTGGCTGAGATTCCAGCAGCAGCATGTCTCGTGTCTCCTCCACCGCCAAGCGATATGCTGGCCCCTCCTACACAAGCCACTACAGCTCCTACAGCTCCCCCCTGACCCCAGGCATTAGCTCCTACAGTGAGCGGGACAGGTTATCCACCTATAAGTCCCCCACCTCCTCCACCTTTTCCTCAGGTTATTCCTCCTCCAGCTATCTGAGTAGCTCCGATGTCCATGGCCGCAACTACACTACATCATCTGAGCGTGACCGGGGTCGGACCGTCCCACGCAACGACATCCTTGGGAGCAGCAGCAGTCGCCGGAGTGAAAGCCTCAGCAGAACACCTGTTAAGAGCTATGGAGCATCAGGGCTCAGTGGGGGGTCTGCCTATTCTGGCTACAGCTCCTACTCTTCTTCCAGATACCTCTCCTCTTCACCCATGGCCTCCAGCATCCCACTCAGTCGACGGAAATCTGTCTCACAGACTGACTTAAGAAAAGATCTATCCTCGCTGAACCTGAGTGATGCTTCTTCCTCCTCCACCAGTGGCCTGCGGAGTTACAGCAGTCAAACCAAAGAGGTGAATGACTCATGTGACTCAGGCTCTCGGTCAGGCTACTCGAGCCTGTTACGGAGCTCCACCCAGGAAGCCTTCGGTAGCAGCAAAGTATACATCTCTTCAGCGTGGGAACCGAGCAGCAATGGGCTGTCTGACTCCCCCAGCAGGGACTCCACAGTAAGGCTCAGTTCAATTCAATTCCAATTCAAGACAGACGTACATAGACAATGACAAGAATTGGTGACTGTGGTCATTCGCAACACGAGTCGCGCTGCCGTTATAGATCAAGAGGGTTTATATGAGGATAGAGTCAGGGGGAGGGGAAAAAGGCCCTTCAGATTTACCCTCACCAGAGAGGGCAGCTGTGCTATGCAAAAAAACACCTCAGACAGAAATGCAACAGACTTCAGACATCACACAACATAAGTGTCCACTAGGTGGGGAGGTAGGGTTGGGACTCTCCTCACTTCAGTGCTTGCAGCCGCGATGAGCAGCGCTCATCACCTCCGTTTGGACAGGGGAGGGAGATAATGGGTTAGAGAGCACAGTGACTCCTAGATACGGTTCCACGGCCTTCACCGGTCACAGTCCCGCCCAGGCTGGGATAGGGAGAAAGAGTTTCCATAGCGACAGCAGCATTCCACATTTCTTCTGAGGGGAGTTTTCACTTCAGCCTCACAGGCTCAACGGCACCAGATTCAGATAAGAATAGTTTTGTGGACAGAAAGAGATAATTTCCTCTCTGTCGTAAAGTTCTGATGGTCTTCAACCCCTCCAGGTCCAATAATGGCGTTGTCAAACTATTCCAATCCAATCAATCAAGAGCTCTCTTCTGCTTTCATGTGATATGTATTCTTCTAGAGAGTCAAACAGGAATCAGAGGTGCAGTCATCACCACTGAGGTTCTCTGGTTTCTATTCAGTAGACTCACACATACAAATACAAGCCTCAACAAGGCTTCGTTGCTGTAGGTAGAACCGTGTTTGACCACACGGGGGCACTGTTAGCCAAGCACCTACAGTAGCAGTTTATTAAATCACCAGACATGTCCCCCTCCTCCTCTATTACAAAGCTTTGGAGTCATGATGATAAAAAGAAATATAGGATGCATGTTTATTTCCTTGCTTAATGCAGTCTTTTCACCTGCAAACCGAATTCAGGCTACATAGCAGCTTCGATGTGTAATAAATGAGTTTTTAGTGCTGTCACGTGATGCCCTTAGCCAGGAATGAGCTTTCCTACTACACCTTTCTTATTGAGCTCATTGGCTGTGAGCTGATGGGTTTATGGCCCAGTGCTCCTATCTGAAAGTTCAGCATTGATAATTATTATTATTATTATTATGAGCTGAGTATCCCACGTACAGATCTGAAAACTGACATACTTTTCCTCTAATTTACTGAGAATATACTAGAAATGTATTTAGAGTACATTAGAATACAATTTAAGGATCACTGTTCTAATTGGTATACAGTGCTCAGCATAAATGAGTACACTCCTTTGACAAGTACAAATGTAATCAGGAGCTCAATGAGCAAAAGAACCATTTCCAGAATGTTCACAAGGCTGGTTTTTATGTAACACTTGTTTAAGTCCATGACATGAAATTAAGGTTAATAATATAACTTAGATCACAAAATCTTCTGTTTTACTAACATTGGTTTAAGTAAAGATGAATACTGTCTGCTGGACACCTCTTAAAGGAATCATTAGACTCACCTGTGGTTGAATGCCTGTTCATTTGAATTTTGTTGTCTTACGTGTGGCTTTTCTCCTAACACTATAATTGGGGTGTACTCATTTCTGCAACATGGGCTTGAATGGATTTCTTAGCAAAATCACTTTTTTGTGTGTGAAAATGAACAAATCTTATTTTCAATCACATTGGATGGCGATGTGGATGGCCCACATTTGACCGTGTCCCCAGGGGCACCCTGTGGGGGACGCTCCAGGAGTATGGGGTGGGTGGCTTTCTGTTAAGGGCCATTCAGTCCCTTTACCAGAGGAGCGTGAGTTTGGTCCGCATAGCCGGTAGTAAGTCGGACCTGTTCCCAGTGAGGGTTGGACTCCGCCAGGGCTGCCCTTTGTCACCGGTTCTGTTCATTACCTTTATGGACAGGATTTCTAGACGCAGCCGTGGTGTGGAGTGTGTCGAGTTTGGTGGCAGGAGAATCTCGTCTCTGCTTTTTGCGGATGATGTGGTCCTCCTAGCTTCATCCAGCTCTGACCTTCAGCTCTTGCTGGGTAGGTTCACGGCCGAGTGTGAAGCGGCTGGGATGAGGATCAGCACCTCCAAATCTGAGACCATGGTTCTCGACTGGAAAAGGGTGGCTTGCCAACTCCGGGTCGGGGGAGAGGTCCTGCCTCAAGTGGAGGAGTTTAAGTATCTCGGGGTCTTGTTCACGAGTGAGGGTAGGAGGGATCGGGAGATCGACAGGCGGATTGGTTCGGCGTCTGCAGTGATGCGGACGCTGAGCCGATCTGTCGTGGTGAAGAGGGAGCTGAGCCAGAAAGGGAGGGACTCGGAGTAGAACCGCTGCTCCTCCGGATCGAAAGGAGTCAGTTGAGGTGATTTTATATATATATATATATCTATATATATATATATATATATATATATATATAGATATATAGATATAGATAGATATCTCTCTCTCTCTCTCTCTCTCTCTCTCTCTCTCTATATATATATATATATATATATATATATATATATATATATATATATATATAGATAGATATAGATATAGATAGATATCTCTCTCTCTCCATCTATATATATATAGATATAAATATCTATCTATCTATCTATCTATCTATCTATCTATCTATCTATCTATCTATCTATCTATCTATATATATATATATATATATATATATATATATATATATTTATATATATATATATATACACATATATATATATACACATATATATATATATATACATATATATATATAGATAGATAGATAGATAGATAGATAGATAGATAGATAGATAGATAGATAGATAGATAGATAGGTAGATATTATAATTTTTTATATCAGTAAGTTGTCTGCCAAGGGTGTCCAGTTTGATAGCAAACAGAAGTGATGCCTAACCCCGGTTTCACACTGAAAGCATCAGCGGAATGCCACTGCCTCAGATAGAATCCATTAGTGTCTACGGTCTGTTTCAAACCAGCAGCAACGCGCCAATTTCCAAGTGTGTCCCAGAAGCGGCACGCCGCGCCGCCAAAAATAGGATCGGTTTCTATTTTTGTCGTGAGTTTTGGAAAGAGCACAGTGAGGAAGCCGTGCAGCTGCCCAGACTCCCAGTGTGAAAAAGACCGCTTTGAAGTTTGCGAGTAAACCGTTCTGCTGTCGTTCCGCGCCGCTGATGCTTCCAGTGTCAAATCAGGGTAAGTTGTGCTCATGACGTCTCACTGAGATGTTTGTCTTGAAAAATCAGAATGATTCACCTTTTCCTTCAGATATGGCACAACTATACCTTGTTGACCCTATTATAGATTTATATCTAATGGATTTAGACAGTCAACATTCACTTTTGCAGCACACACACACACACACACACACACACACACACACACACACACCTTGAAAAGGAATGTGCTCTCAGGTTATTTGTTTTGTACACTTGAGTTCAGTCACAAGCCGGGTCCTGGGTACACACTGCCCTTTTCTCCACTTGACACATCATTGCTGCTGAATCCGTTCTCTTTCCCCGACGATTTCATCGAAGAAAAGTGCAAATAATTTTAGACGGTCACGAACAATCTCATGGTAACGTGACATGACATTTTTCTAACTATTTATTTTTTCAGTTTGCTGTGATAAATTGTTAGGATTGGCAGGAAGTGGAAATAGAGACGCCTCATATTTCATAGAAAAATCGTTGAATTGGAGCTTTGCCTTGCTCAGCCGGCCTGTAGAAGTATTCCCTACTCTGAGTCTTTCTGCTTGTGACACGCTGAACCACTATTCTCAGTTTTCCTTTTGTTTCATGTCTTACCTCTGCGTAGGAACTTGATCACTGCAAAAACTAATTTCTAAGAAAGTTTTTAAAAGTTAAATTTTTAGACATTTTATCTTATTTTTAGCCCAAAAAGAAAAAAAATCCCCTAATTCTCTAGAAAAATAGCATTACTTAAAATAAGGTAAATCATGTTTTGAGTAAGAAATCTGCCAATGGGGTCAGCAGAAGTTACTTGGCTAGAATTGTTCAGATTTGCAAAAGAATCTAAATTTTGAGTTTTAAGAATTCTAGCCAAGCACATTTTTATTGTCCCGTTGTCGTATTTATTTTACTCAAAACAAGAACATTTAGATCGTATTAAACCAATGTACCTAAGTTTAGGCTTTGCTATTTTTTAGAGATTCTTTAGACTAAAAATAAGATAAAATGTCCAAAAAATGAGATATTTTTTCACTTTCCTTAAAATCAGCTTTTGCAGTGGATTTCCTTCCAAAGACCACTACAGTAAAACCACATAGACAATTTATCTTAAAGTCCTAAGGTGAATCCTGCACACACACACACACACACACACACACACACACACACACACACACACACACACACACACACACACACACACACACACACACACACACACACACACACACACACACACTTTAGCCCTTAAAGACCCATGGTGACACTGGGATGTGCCCTTCACACCCATCCCATTTCAAGCATCTGCAAAATTGCTTCTGGAGTCAAATATTCAAGTTTGACAACTCCAAGTGGCATCGTGTGCATGCATATATCAATTTTTCTTTTACTTCTTTATTTTGACTCATATTTTTCTACAGTTTGATGTATTTATTCCAATCTAGCTTCAATTTCAAAAGGGTTTGGGGCCCTAAGGGACACCAACACCAGTATTTAATTGTTAGAATACAAGTGGCTGAACTGAAAGCTTGACCCTGTTTGAGTTTCCTTTCTGCTTAATCTGGGATCATCTGAAACGATCTCGTGACCCCTGAGTTTATTTGTGCAGCTGTGTGACGTCTCACTAAACTCTTGCTGGGGACTGATGGAGAAGCGGCGGGAGGCTGATGTGTCTGTCCTGCTTTGTGGATGAGTTCAGTCCAGAGTAGCGTTTTCCTTCTAGTTCAGTGGATTAGCCATGAAGAGATGAGTCTCCTTGGACCCCAGTCCACCAGGTTACATC